GTACCATGGACCTCTCCGGACTCGCACGCCCAGTCCGCCTTGACCGTACGTTTTTCAGCGCTCCGACCAGGACGCGTCTAACCTGCAGCACCCGAATCTATTCTAGCTCCAAGACCTCAAGTTGCAAGCCATGTCGTATAGTCTACGATCCAAGCCGTCATGGTGGACCAAGTATAAGGACGAAACGATTCGCAGCAAGTGGAAGGCCGAAGCCCTGGCAGCACCCGTCGCAGGAGATCCAATACTCGAGCCCGAGGTCGATTATATTCTGAACGAGCTTGGTAGGTCTTAATCCTCGTATGACTTGAGATACTCATTATAGCTCCCTCATCACAATAGCTGGTTATGAGAAGATGAGAGATGAAGCGACAGGCATCCAGGCAAGTCCCCGACAACCGACCTCATAAGGATTCCTTCATTTATCCGACCATGCTATTGCCCAGCAATCATGCTATACGCGGATCTATGAGTCGGATACACTTGTTCCACCCGAACTGTGCGATAGGTTGAAAGCGGCGGTCAAGGCCTTGGAGAACGTTCCCGAGGCCCAAAAGGACTGGCACCCTAGGTCCGATGGCCAGGTCCTCGACCTTGTTCATCCGTCACTTTACCCTATCGTCTATGGTCGAACCTTGCGATATCCAGAAGGAGCTAAACCCGAAGAACGCAAAATCGAACACTTCCAACCTATCGTCGCTCCCGATTCGAGCATTACCCCCGGCGAGGACTGGTCCTTCTCCCGCAAGTTCGCATGGCTATCGACGGATTTCAAAATCACCGAAGACGGAAGCTCAGCAAAGGCGGTGTCTTACATCAACAACCTCCATCCCTCTAACACCGAGTTGTACTCGATCATCGAAGCACTGGTGGCTCGGTTTTCCTTCCTTTTCGACCGCGTCCTAACGGATTTGATCTGCTACGAAGAGTCGTTTACCCTTCGCATTAACGATGGATACTATTTCAAAGATGATTCGGAGAAACCAGAGCAGCAGGAGGGTGAAGACGACGAAGAATATGAAGCACGGGTAGACACGTGGAACATGCAGAGACCCATCGACCTGCCTACCGTTCCGTCGGATGGCTATACTGGGGATATTTCTAACCGATCGAAGACCTATACTGTTCGTGGTAAAGAGGTGCAAATCATCGTCAAATTGGCGAACATTCATCTGGTGAGACGACAGAACAGGCTCAACCAATGACTTCTCGTTAACATCTTCCCCTCGCGAACTCGGTTGCGGTCAGACACCGGAAAAGCCCGTTTACCCTGGCGGCTCTTGGCACGTCGAGGGAATGGCAAACGAAAGAATCATCTCGTCGGGCATCTACTATTACGACTCGGAGAACATCACCGAGAGCGAGCTTCAGTTCCGTACAGTGGTCGGCTCCGACGACCTCTCAATTGAACAAGACGACGCGCTTGGCGTGATGAGGGTGTGGGGGATTAAACGGTCTGTTCTTCTCATCCAACTACCTGTCCGCTGAGGGTTTGACAAGAACTATCTGTCTGGTCACAGCCATGGTCCCGCGAATCAACGCGTGGGCGCAACCCCGACTCCTGCCGGAAGATGCCTCGCCTTCCCAAACATCTACCAGCACAAAGTATCTCCATTCGAGCTCGCCGATAAAACAAAACCGGGCCACCGCAAGATCGTCGCCTTGTTCCTCTTGGACCCCGAACACCCGCGCTTCAGTACCACGGACATCCCACCTCAACAAGCCGAATGGTACGAAGTGGCCATGCAGCAAGCTCCCAAGACCTCGCTCTTCCACAAACTGCCCGCGGAGATCATGAAGGAAACCACGCGTCAGTTGCCCAATCTGATGACGTTGGATGAAGCGCAGAAGTATCGGTTGGAGCTGATGGATGAGAGGACGGCATTCGTTGAGACCCAAGACGAGAACTATTTCGCTTCGGACTTTAACTTTTGTGAACATTGAAAGGACGCGGAAACGCACGCAGCAGTCGTAAAGCTGTGACATGATCTTAATACGAGTTGGGATGAATGTTCTCTAGTATTGTACGACTCAAAGAATTGCATTCTGGTGATTGCTATGACGGCGTTCCATTTGCGCATGAAGAATACTTGGTGGTCAGAAATCCTCGATTCTCTGGGGTACAATACAATACCGCCCCTGTCCCTGTCGTCAACCGGAGTGATATTCAGTAAAAAAGTCCCAACTCGTCAGGTCATACTCATCTTTTGGCGCAGGTGTTTGAATTTGCTTAGGATGATCTCGGCCCATGGACTGAGATAATACCTTGTACTCAGCTAGCGACTCTTTCCGAACTTTTCATAGAACAGACAAGCCTAACATGGGCACCTAGATAAAATGCTTTGCTACGTGCTAGAATCATTGGCATCAGGAGCTAGAACGCTCAAGATGAGAAAATATTGATACTTAGATAATGTGACTCAATAGTATAAATTGTTCCAATTACGGTTAGCGGCACGCTTTACAAGGGTGCTGCGCTATAGCTACGTCTTATCAATTTGCATCAACGTCGGAGAAACAGAACAGCCATGGTTTAAGTTTGCTTCCGGAATATCTTGGCGTTCCAACGGAGCAAGAAATGCCGCCGGAGAACGTAATAGTGGTGCCCGTGGCTTTACATATACCCGTCGTGTCCTTGCCCCTCCTCCCTTCACAACTCATTTTCAACCCCTCTCATTTTCGCCCTCTCTCTCGATGGCTATATCTTATAGATCCGCCATGCCTGAACAATTTCCTGTGCCATTCGATACGCCCGACTGTCACCACCAGACAGCCCTGACGGTAGGTGTGCTTATATTTTCTAAAAGGCTCGGCCCGGCGTCTAATACAGTGAATTGCTTTTCAGCTCCAGGACCTCAAGCTACAAGCCATGTCATATAATCTGCGGTCTAAACCGTCTTGGTGGACGAAATACAAGGACGAAACGATTCGCAGCAAATGGAAGGCTGAGGCCCTTGCGGCGCCCGTCATCGGCATCGACAAACTACTCGAGCCCGAAGTAGACTACGTTTTAGATGAGCTCGGTAAGACTGATCCTTTGCAAGATTAACGACAATTTGGCTCAATTTCTATGATGAAAAGCTGGATATGAGAAGCTGAGAGACGACGCAACTGGAATCCAGGCAAGCCTCCTCCTTTCCCCCTCCGGAGATGGGTCCTCGTCTGATAAACAACTTCTTTTTAGCAATCATGCTTTACCAGAATTTACGAGTCAGACACTCTCATTCCACCCGAATTGCGCGATAGGCTGAAAGAGGCCGTCAAAGTCTTGGAGAACGTTCCCGAAGACCGAAAGGACTGGCATCCTAGATCCGAAGGTCAAGTACTCGACCTAGTTCACCCGTCACTTTACCCTATTGTATATGGCCGGACTTTGAGGTATCCAGAAGGAACCAAACCCGAAGAACGCAAGGTAGAAGACTTCTGGCCCGTTATCGCACCAGACCGAAGCGTCACCCCTGGTGAAGACTGGGCTTTTTCCGATAAGTTCGCGTGGCTATCAACGGACTTCAAAATAGCCGAAGACGGAAGCTCAGCCAAAGCGGTTTCCTATATCAACAACCTCCACCCATCTCATACGGAACTCTACTCGATCATCGAGGCTCTCGTGGCACGATTCTCTTTCCTTTTTGATCGTGTCCTGACCGATTTGAGCAACTACTACGAGTCATGGCATCTTCGCATTATTGGTGATTATACATTTGAAAATGATGACGAAGAGAAGCCAGAACAGGAGGAAGAAGAAGAGGACGAAGAGTACGAGACTCGGATAGCAACCTGGAACATGCAGAGGTCGATAACCTTGCCTACCGTTCCACCGAAGGGTTATACAATGGACATCTCCAACCGACCCAAGACGTATACAATTCGTGGCAAAGAGGCGCAAATAATCGTCAAATTAGCTAATATCCACTTGGTGAGTGTGGGGGAAGAAGCTAAGAGGACAGCGATCGAATCTGATTATTTTACCCTTAGACGCCGGAAAAGCCTGTGTACCCTGGTGGGTCGTGGCATGTGGAAGGCATGGTCAACGAAAGGATCATCGCATCGGGCATTTACTACTACGACTCTGAAAACATCAGCGAGAGTGAACTACAATTCCGCGCGGTGGTCAGTGCAGAAGACCTTGATTATGAACAGTCCGACGCCCTTGGAATAATGAGGGTATGGGGGATCACAAGGTCTGTACTCGTTCTTCGACCACCCGCATGTAAAAAGTCTGAACCTATCTATATTTGGCTCCAATCTGTAGGGAAAGTGGTGGAAATCAACCCGTGGGCGCCACCCCCACTCATGCTGGAAGGTGTCTCGCCTTCCCAAATATTTACCAGCACAAGGTCTCTCCATTCGAACTCGTCGACAAAATGAAACCCGGGCATCGCAAAATTGTTGCCTTCTTCCTCGTGGACCCTGAAAACCCGCGCTTTAGTACTACCGACATCCCGCCTCAACAAGCTGAATGGTACGAAGATGCCATGCAACAAGCTCCCCCGACCTCGCTCCTCCGAAAGTTACCTGCAGAGCTCGTGAGAGAGACTACGCGCCAGTTACCTAACCTGATGACATTAGATGAAGCAAAGAAGTATCGCTTGGAGTTGATGGATGAGAGGACGGCGTTTGTTGAGACGCAGGACGAGATGCATTTCAAAGCAGAGTTTAACTTTTGCGAGCATTGAAAAAAGCTGGGAGCTTATCACCTAGGTACACCTAGCTAGATTTATACGAGTTAACGACTGTTTCTGTGTTGTACCCTCTAACGAAATGAACTAGAAAATGATCCAATTACCGAAACCCACTCGCTTCCTGGCTGTCTTCTCTTGGGGTAGTCACGACGAAAACACAGTAGTCTCCTTATCGAAGCCGGGAACGATCATTTAAGAAGTACACCGATTTTCCCAACACGGTATCAAGACTAGCTGGGAAGTTGTGAATCTCAGGGGGGGGGGATTACAATATTTCGAGGTTAGTGAGTTCTAATAGAACTGTGTCATCAAAAATCAATGTTCCGGCACTGGGAATTGAACCCAGATCACCGCTGATCACATGACTGATGAGAGAGCGGTATGATAGCCATTACACTATACCGGATGACATGAACAATTGGACTTTGTTGCATATTTTACAGCATGCACCTTGCACAACTTCATCCGTCAACTCGTTACGTCTGAAGTTAGCCTTTCTAGAATCCCCCCAAGGTTTCTTTCTTTTTCTTAGGTACCTCATCACTAGGCCCACACATCCACCCAAAGGAGGATACCCAAGAACCCCACTATTGGCAACTACAGCGTCGATAGTGCACAGGTCTATTCTTCGTGATGAACAAGTCCGCTTTTCCCATCATGTATAAGGCACTCAAGTCAAATTCAGCGGATGAGATGGGGCGATACATTTGGTATACAACAGGTATCCGTCATGCCAGTCATTAAGTCCAAGAATGGATCCTGGTCCACCTCTCCAACGTTCACACATCACCGGCGCCAGAGTTGACGGGCTCATAGCCTCCATATCCTCGCGATCTACCTCCAAGGCCAGTCAGGTTCCGACCCATCATCATGGTCCGAGCAAACATTCCGCTATTTCGCTTGTATCCAGAGGAGAAACCGTCATCCGCATCTTCATGAGCGCGACGGCGCTTAGCTTCCCGGAAGCCCTCTTGAGGAACATCATATAACTAGTGATCCGTTCATCTCTTAGAGTTCGTGCTCGGGTAGGTTACAGGAAACAAACCTACCGTTTCATACTCTACACCCAACTCTTTTCCTTTGGTCCAGAAGTCCTTGCAGTTCCCGGTCCATCCGAGGTCGAATGGATTAGGTGCATGGGCTGCCTTCTTGAGGCCATCGGCGGCTTTGCCCTTGGTGAACCGATCGAAGCCGAGCACGCTAAGCAGGAAGCCGGTCGCTTTCTTGTGTCCGTGCGCGTGATGATGAGCTGAACTGATCTCATCCCCAGCATCGCCGCTAAGGTGTTGATGACCCTGTTGGCCAGCCATGCTGCTGCCGCCTCGTCCACCCATAAAGCCGTACCGTCCGAGGTTACTGACTTCGAGAGTGGTCATTTGACGGGCGATCTGCCATAATTGCGAAGCTAGTAGAACCACAGTCCAGGTAAGCTGGAGGGTTGACCATGCCGCAATGCTAAAGAGGAATGCATCCCGGCGGACGGCGGAGCAAAGAGGGTCGGGAAGCAAACAGCTTGCTGCCGAATCGTCCTCGGAAGGCGAAGGCGGGGAGGTCGAGAGCAAGGGTGGATCTGCGGACCGAGGCGGCGCTGGAGCGGGGGTAGAGAAGTCTAAGATTTGGACCCGGTGGTCAGTCTGCGAAAGAGCTTAGTGGGGAAATCGGGGATACGCACAAGCTACGGTGAGATAGTCGAAGGAAATAATACCCAGAACTAGGGTGATAACGAAGAGAACGAATTGCCGGTGGTTATTCGCTCCAACGCAGTTCCACACCCATGGACAGTGGCTGGACGGAGTGCGAGTTTGAGTTGAAGGCGTTGCACCGGAGAGAAAGCCGATCAGGCGGTTCAGATCCAGCGAAGGCCGCAGGAACGAGGGCAGGCAACGAGGCAGGCAGAACCAGATGAACGGGGTGGCCAAAAAAGCATGGAGTAAGGGAAGCGAGTAGAAAGCCGCATCAGTAAAGTAGGCCCTAATCACCTCAATGGGGATAACACGAGGCCACTACGACGCGAATGGCAATGGAGCCTCCACTCACTGATCATGCCTGGCAATGCACTTATCACATACTCGACAGTGCTTCGACCGCAGGGGTTTTCGAGCCTATCAAGATTGTCCGCAGGTCCAATTAACGCCCATATCTTTGATTTGCCCGGACACGCGGGTGGCAAGAGATTGGCACGTACCATACAAGAAACACAGAAGGTCTGTCCGTTCAACCGTCCCTGACTAGTCAGATCCTGTAAGATCTGGTGGGAATGTATCCGTTTTAGGTTAATGCGCCTGATGAAGGTAAGCGAGACATGCAGACCAATTTCAACTCTTGCTCATTCGCAGGTTTAGGGCACGTTCCCGGGTCCAAAGTTACGGCTCTAAAGAAGTTATAGGCACAGAGCATCCACATTATAGCATAGAACAGATGAGCAAAAGCATGGCCTTGCGTTACTGTGTAAGAGAAAGTCAGCGCTCAAGGCAATCAGAACGGAAGCTGAGGATAACCTACTCGGCATTAATCTGGTTACCCAAGCCTCACCGACCCAAAACATGCTAGCACCGATGATGGCGGCAAAATATGGAGATGAAGTGACATTTTCTGTGTAGTTTTTGCCGTTCAGCAGAACGCGGGTGCTGATGTGGTGCATGCCGAAGAACTCGGCAGCGGCCAAAGGAATACCTGCAAACACCTTGAGTATTAGTCCATCTCGTGTTTGTCATTGTGAGGAATCGACCTGCCCGTGAACCAAGGCATTGCTGCGAATGTGGAGAAGATGATGTAGAAAAAGATGGTGGGAAGGACCAAGATGGCAAATTTCGTGTTTCGCTAGAGGCATTTCACTCTGAGCATTCGCTACGACGGCAACAATACTAGTGCGCGCACCTCGCTCAATGGTCCTTGGATCTTCCTCCCGTCCTCAGTGAGGCCACCATCTTCGAGTGCTTTTCGCCACGGTCCCAACGCCTTGAGCTCGGCGGCCATTTCCCGAGGAGTCTTGCCACTGTCATCTCTGGCATTCAAGTCGGCTCCAGCTTCAATCAGCTTCCGGATGCACCACTTGTTCCCTCTCACAACTGCCCAGTGCAGCGCAGTCAGCCCGGCGTTGTCCTTCTTGAGTGGACTAGCCCCAGCATTCAAGAGTATTTCGACGGAAATACCATCGCCTTGGTAAGCGGCCCACATTAAGGAGGTATGGCCGGCGGAATCCGGAGAGTCGGGCGATATGGGGCAGAGATGGAGGAGATATAACAACGGCATGACAGTGCTGCTGTGGGTTACAAGGTGGAGGGTATTGTAGCCTTGCGAGTCGGAAATGCTGGGGTCAGCGTTGTGGGATATGAGAATGTCGATGATGTATAAATAGCCATTTCGCTATGGGGATCATAGATTAGCGGCCGGAGAGAGGAGGCGCGATCCCGTCAGGACGGATTCTCGACTCACAGCAGCCCATTGCATCGGAGTAGCGTGCAAGTCGCCTCCGAGGGCATCGACATCTGCTCCCTGTTCCAATAGGTACTTGCATGCGGGCAGTTGCGCGTTGATAGCTGCCCAATGTAATGGCGTTACATTCTGGTCGTCACGGTCCGTTGCTTTGGCCGTTCCAGACTCTATGAGTTGCTTGAGAGTATCCACGTCGCCTCTTTGCGCCGCGAGGAAGATGTTTGGCTATGGGCAGGACGACAAGGCATGGCGAAGGGATGACGACGTCAGCACGACCGGCGACCCAAGGGTGACCTCCCTCGAGCTAAATTCTCACAGGTTCTTCATGAGCTACTGTCCTAGTTGGATTAGCAGGGGCCGAGCTTGCGCCGGTGCCAGAGACATTCTGGGTGTTGACTGAGCTTGTTGCTGCGGCTGCCTTGGTTGCAATGCCGAGGCCTGTCGGCCCATCCTTGCCTTTGGCGTCCGCTGGGATGTCGTTCCAGTGAGAGCTCATGATTGAGACGCGTCCTAGGTGGTGGGAGTGACGCGCTAGTTTCCAGAAACTTTGGAATCTTTTAGAGAGTGTGCAGAGTGGAGAGAGGTTAGCGCAAGTCGAGAGTGGAATCGCGTGGCTGTGCTTGGCCGTGCGTGCAGGTCTCCGCTCTTCCCACCTTCTTGCCATCTCTGCCGCTACTTTGAACCAACTTCAACCAAAAGACAGATGGACAAACTACCATCATTTGATGAATTCAAGAAGAAAACGGTAGTCCAAGCAGAATCCTTAGGTCTTACGACTCTTTCTCCTGGACAGCAAGCGGTAGTTTTTGCACTCCTTGGCTCGGCGGGAACTTTCGGCTTGATTACTGTTCGGCGGAGGTTCTTGAAGCGCATTCCAAATTCAGATCATGTCCCTCCAAACGCATTCGAGAAGCGGAGATGGGTCAAGGGTGTGGTGACCAGGCGAGTCCTTGCCAGCGCACTCGTTCAACCTTTGACGGCTGACCTGAAGTCGATTCAAGCGTAGGTGACGGTGACAACTTCCGACTATATCATACGCCAGGACTCTTCTGGAGGTGGCCCATCAAACTAAGGAGAGTCCCGACTGAGACTAAAGGTCTGTTACCGAGCTGTCAAGCACCTTGCATGGGCTGACGTCATTCCACAACGTGCAGCCCTGAAAGACCAAACGCTGCACATCCGGATGGCTGGTGTAGATGCACCGGAGGTAAGCGTCAGGAATGATCCCGAACTCCATGTTCAAACTAACGTAGCAACCTCCACAGGCAGCGCACTTCGGTAAGCCAGGTCAACCTGGAGCAGAAGAAGCCCGTCTCTGGCTTGAGAACAAGATTCTCGGCAGACGCTTATGGTGTCAGCTTGTTTACCGCGATCAATACAAGCGAACTGTGAGCCGTAGTCCTATCAAGCTCCAATCCATTTCGCTTTAACACCCAAAACCGATAGGTTGCCGTGCCTTACGTCCCATACCCACTTATTCCTTACTGGATATCTCGCGGACGGAACCTCTCTTTGTTGATGTTGTCTTCTGGGTGGGCTAGCGTGGTACGTGCCAACGCTCGGCGATCACTTAAATCAGCACTGTCCACGGCTAACACCATAATCACACAGTACGAACAAGCAAATGCTGAATACGGCCAAGCTGGAAAAGAGGCTCACCATCGAGTGGAGGAACAAGCAAAGTAACCACACAGTTTTCCATTCTGCAGCGTGTTTGAAGACTAAACCTGGATTATCCATTTAGAAAAGCCCGCCGCGGGATGTGGGCACAAGGAACAAACATCGAGCTACCTGGTCAGTTCAAAAAACGGTTGGGAATCGAGTCGCCGAAACCGACGACCACGACGACCCTCCGCGCCGCGACAAAACCCGGCAAAGGGATTTTTTCCTGGTTCCGACGGTCGTAAATTTCCCATAAGGAATAAAATTCGACTTCCTTGGTCTTCATAAGCCTCTCGTATTTCAAATCAG